TAGCCTGGCTGAACATGAGCCAGCAGTGTGCCCAGGTGGCCATGAAGGCCAACGGAATCCTGGCTTCTATCAGGAATAGAGTGGCCAGCAGAAGTACAGATGTGATTGTGCCCCTGTACTTGGCACTGGTGAGGCTGCACCTCAGGTACTGTGTTCAGTATTGGGCCCCTCACTACAAGATGGACATTGAGGTGCTGGAGCATGTCCAGAGAAGGGCAACGAGGCTGGTGAAGGGTCTAGAGAACAAGCTTTATGAGGAGAGCCTGAGGAAACTGGGATTGTTTAATCTTGAGGAGGCTGAGGGGAGACCTTATCGCTCTCTACAGCTACCTGAAAGGAGGCTGTAGTGAGGTGGGTTTTGGTCTCTTCTCCCAAGTAACTAGTGACTGGATGAGAGGAAATGGCCTCAAGTTGCTTCAGAGGAGGTTTAGATTGGATGTTAGGAAAACTTTCTTTACTGAAAGAGTGGTCAGGCATTGGAACAGGCTGTCCTGGGAGATGGAGGACTCACCATCCCTGGAGGTGTTCCAAAAACGTGTAGATGTGGCACTCTGGGATGTGGTTTTAGTAGGCATGGTGGTGTTGGGTTGACAGTTGGACTTCATGATCTTAGAGGTCTTTTCCAGCCTTAATGATTCTATGATTATGAGAATGTTTACCTTACAAGCCCTGTCTACTGACCTGACCAGATCAGACATCTACCTATGCACTAGCCTAAGCTACTCTCTAAACGATGAAGAACATGGGGACAGAGAGAACTAAAAACATTAAATAAATTTGTCAGTGACAATACACACTACTCACCTGAGGTTCATGGCTTTCTAATACATTCTTGCTCCTTACTGAGCTCCAGCAATGAAGCTATTTGCATTGGATTCTGATAAAGTCTGAATAACAGCTGCATCATGTGAGAGAACTGATGCAACAATGATTTTCAAAAGAACATGCTAGACTTGTCTTCACGTTTCTTTTTGCTCCTCTTAGCAAGTTCTCCTCTTCCTAATTTTCCTGCAAAGGATGATACCTATAACCTCAAATGGTTTTATAAATATATGCCAAGGTCATTCTTTTTGGAAGTTTGTATCCATCCAAAATAACTATCACTTACCTTCTGAACTGCTTTCCAGTTTAACAGGATTTTTTTTTTTGCGGATCAAATTGAATTAGCAGTAGGTTACAGTTAACCTGACTCTTGCAAGATAAGGAAAAAAAATACCATCGTGTACTTTGACAGTTTTTTCCCCAATACATTGAAAGATTGTACTGCTACACAAACACAAAAACTGACCTCTATGCACCAATCCATGAGACATCACAGCATCCTCTGCTCTTAGACAAGAGTACTTGGCTGTGGAACTATTTCGCCAGAGACTGTCTTTTTACCTGAACGCAGCATAACTTCCTAATATGATCAATAGCAGGACCATTTATCCTCCTTTCTGTCCTCCAAAAACGACATTTCATTACATTACGAGAAAATAAGCTACGAAACAAAGGCAAAAACAGCTCTGCTCTACTCTGATACAGTATCTTCTGGTTCATCTTGAGCTTGCATCTCCCATGTGGGTTGGGGCCAGTTGTCTATGACAGACTCGGAAGAAAAATACTACTTCCAAATAAACAGCAAGCTTTTTTACACAGGCTATGCATTGTAACAAAAAGATCCAAGACATGACGACTGCTCAGCACGTTTTCATAGAAGCTTAGTTGTCTTCATCGAGGAAGGTAAACCTCCTATTCAGCTTTAAATGAAGAGGCTGAAGTCAAACTACAGAAATCAAGGCTAAATATTTAGCAATAATAATACCCATTTCTAAACAAGTACACAGAAGTATCCTTTTCTACACCATAAAGGCTTCCACAGAACATGTATTCATAGTAGATACGCCAGTATCCACAGAAATAGTTACCTCTGCAGCTCTTAGCTGTGCACTTGCTGCTTTAAACTCTGATTCTAGTCTGTTCTTCTCAGCAGCCACTGTAGCACTCTGAAGAACCAAATCTGCTTTGAGCATGTTCAGTGATACACAATTCTACGTAGGAAAACAGAAAGCATTATTTTTTCAACAAGAGACTCAGAACTGGTATAATCACTATCTGGCTTTAGAAACTATCCATTTTTAGCCACAGTATACAATCTCACGCTCTGTTCAGCTCTTCAACACGGTTGTCTGTCAAATTCAACGAAAAAGAAAGGTGACTCACTGGTGGTCCAAGCTCTTCAAGACATATAGTCCCCACATATTTTTAATCTGTAAGCATATACACATCACTTGCAACCAAATAATTTTACACCAAAAAGCACATTCTCTTCCCTTACACCATACGCTCATATGTGAAATGTGAGAAAAGACAGCTGTTCTAATTCTCTCTCAACAGGTGGATTTTGGTGGACTTCCTAAGTCACACACAAAGATGGAAAAAGATCAAAAAATAAACACATAAATATATGCCTCTCTCACTGACAATGCAAGATGACTGACCAGATGGACAGTGACTCTAGTGTCTTGTGTCTTAACCTGAACAGCGTATGACAAAGAAGGAGGCTCTATTTTGGAAGTTTCAAAACAGGCTTTTGTGATCCCCAGAACATGGTTTGACAACTTTGACATTAAAATGGTTGCTTCTTTAAACAAGTGGTCTAGAGGCTTCAAAATTAGCAACATTTTCTGGACTGTGTGAAAGGTAGCTTCAGATCTCGAATTATGGGGCATTAAGAACACCAGTTTACCTTTTTTTTTTTTTTTTTTTTTTTTTAAAATATCGGCACCAGCACAAAAGTATAAAGTAATCCTGTTTTAATGACAGGGAGGACAATGTTCCAAATGTAGACCCAGGGGATTCGCAGGACGAAGTTTTGAGAACATTAGCTTCTGACCACAACAGTGAGCCAAGGTCTGAGATCTTTACTACTTGTTATTTCAACACAAAGCTTCTAGTGTGAACTTGGATATAGGAATAAGTTTATTCATTTCCAATCCAGTTAAATAGTTTAAAAACAATTATCAGAGCAGTAAACTGAAAAAAAAAAGTTGTAACGAAAGGAGATGAAAAATGGAAAAAATTAAGATTATTCAAAGAAAACAGCACAAAAACTACATGCAAAAGCAGTGCTAGAATCTAAAACAGTGGAACAAGGCTGTGTCCGCCAACTGGTTGTAAAGTATTGACATGTATTAGGTGCATGCCAGGTACACTCTGCCTTGTCTATTTGCATAAATATACATGCAGCTTATCACTATAGTTGACTGTTCCACACTAGCCCAAGAACGCTTAAAAAAGTAGATCATATTGCCACCATGCGAACACACAAAAATCCCATATATATTTTAAATTTCCTTCTGTGGCAAAAGTGAGTATGCCTGAAACATACTGTGTTTCTCTGTGTCTCTAAATCTGTGTTTCATACTCACATGTTTCTGCCTGAAACACATCCTGCTCATTGCAGGCGGCTTGGACTAGATGACCTTTAAAGGTGTCTTCCAACCCAAACTATTCTACGATTCTGTACTATGACTCTATATGACTAAGTTTTTATCATTCCAATAGCCTACAGCTAGTATAACTACAAAATCTATTGAAGATAGGCAACACACTTGGACAGTTTATGTACTGGGAAATGGGCATCAAATACAAAAATCAAAAGCATATTCTAGAAATTCCTCTTTTAAATATAGAACATTTGCACAAGTTTTGAAAAAGAGTTACTTTTCAGTACTGTTATTACCTGCGCAAGTTCTGTAAAGTAACCTACAGCCTAAGCAATCCTTTTAACATGGCGGGTGTCTTCTGTCGTTCTTCGGCATTTTCAAAACTGCTTTAGCTAGCTGACCTAAAGGTGATCTCTGAAATACTCCAATAGTTGCAGACCATGCCTACCAACAAATATAAACGTCCCACCCATCTGGAATATTTTTTTCTTTATTTACAAGTACCAGCAACTGAAGTGTACTGAAATGAGCCTCATTTTAAAGGTAATATTCAATTCTTTTCAGAGGTAAGCAAGAACACATTTCAACGTTAGTAAGGCATGGCAAAGGAACAACATATGTGCTCAAAGTGGTTGCAAGAATGGCACCATTTCTTGCTGAGTGCAAAAGCACAAGTAGATTCCCTTGGAACTAAAAGTAACTTTCTTGTTCCTTAGTTATAAAAAAAAAAAGTAAAGAAATTAATTTTGTGGC